TCAGTGAAAAGCTGATGGAACCACACACAACAGAGCAGTTCATGGTAACAGTGTCATTGTGTTTTTACCCCAGATTGCCTGTGAAAAGACTGCTTCAGTGATGCACCATGTCATTATGAGGACCATCACTTATGCCAATGGTAGGGTTTGTTTCTTGTCTCGCAGGAGATCTTTACTTTGTCTCTAAGTTGTTCGCCAGATGAAGACACTCCCTGTTTTCCTCTGCTGTTGGTACCATATTTACACAAATAACAGGAATATGGCAGCTTGTAGTTTGCAGGGTGTGGAGCTGCTGACACTTCAAACGCAGCTGGCTGCATCCCGTCTTCTTTCACAGAAACATCCCAGAGATTCAGAAAGCAAGGACCTTTTCTTCTGTTCATCGTGAAAGGGGTCCAATAATGTTTTTCACACCAGGAAACTGATCTTTGTGTTCCTGTCAAGCATAAGAAACTTTTGTTGCAACTCAAAATGTGTGTTTGAGAGAGAGAGAGAGAGAGTGACTTCTGTTTTAGCCTTGTTATTTTATTTTACTTAGATTTTACTACCTCCTTAAGCCGGGCGTACACTGTGCGACTTTTTCACTTTTTTGAGCCGATTTTCCACTCGTGCGAGAATCCACGACGTCAGGGCCAGTTTTGCGCTGAGCGTCGTGTACGAGAGGGGTTACGAGAGGCGATTAACACCACGTGACCAGCTACAGATCAGCAATCGTGAGCTCGCACGGACTTCTGGCGTGTTTGATATTTTGCTCGTCCCTCGTGAGGGTATCGCACTGTTGAAGCGGCGCTGCGAGCAGCTGCGACCCAAAATGTATCAGAACCGCTCACGGCGCATGCGCAATCCTGCATCAACGCCGTTCGCCCGCTATTTCCCTAATAACACACGTTGTTTGTATTTATTTCTACATGTTATTTTACTCACAAAGATTGTCAAGAAAGCGTGTTTGTCGTGTTCATGTCAAATTAAACTGATCACTAAACACAGATTTACTTTCTTTATTTCGTTTTCCTCATCCAACCCCATAAATCCCTGTGTGTCCTCCTGCAGCACTCCCGAAGGACAACAGGCAAAACAAGACAAAAAAGTTTTGACGTGTTGTGTAAAAACTGCTTTTTTTAGCATATTTTTAGGCCCGACGTGTTGCTACCAGACGTACAGTGAGCAGTCAGGTCGCATCCGAGAACTGGGTCATGCAGTGTGAGCGCATGACTCGTGAGATCTGCCCTGCGATGAAGTCATACAGTTTGAGCTGAAGCTGAGTGCTACGAGTGAAAAAGTCGCACAGTGTCCTCCCAGCTTCACTTGAGCTGTCTTTAATGAGTACCTTGGACGTAATTTGGGGGGGGGGGGGGGGACAGGGGGTACATGTCCCCCCCCACTTTTTCCAAAGTCAAGTTTTGACCCCTGCACATTTTACCATCCAAAAACAATATTACGCTATATGAAATTGACACTAGTTGAGCTTTAGGACCAAGCGGAAAACAACCATTTGTGTTGAAGCCTGTTTCCCATTAGAGCATACTGTAAAGACCCCCGTGTCCCCCCACTTCTAAAGTGAAAATTACGTCCATGATGAGTACAAAGTCAATTTCGTTGTGCACCTGTGCATTGACAATAAAAATGATCTTGAATCTTGAAATGACCCAGGAGCCCTAATAAATGGCCAAACACAACCCCATTATAAAGCCCTACAATGTAAATACTGGTTTGCCCCGTCCTCTCGGCCAGTACATGAATAATAAAGAAGCTGACTGCTGATTGGCCGGTTTACCCTGATGGCTCTATGATGCTGCCTGTAGCTGTAGTTCAGTATCTAGGTAAATCAGTAGGCATGCCATGGATCTGTCTGGCATTTATTTAAAGTCTGGATATTCTGAATCCTGAAAAGTTACATGTGTGGTCTGATATTCTTCTTTTTCATCTCATCCAAATATGAAATTAGCTGTAGCTCATGCTAGCATTATCAGAAGTTCAGGCTAGCGTCAGCCATAAGTCAGGATAGCGCAAGCTGTAGGACCGGCTAGTGTTAGCCATAGTTCAGGATAGCACTATCATTAGCTCAGGCTAGCTTTAACAGTAGTTTTGGCTGGTGGTATCAGTAGCTCAGGCTAGGTTAGCTTTTGGCCATGTTTGCGCTAACAGTAGCTCAGGCTAGCGTTAGCATTAAGACAGGATAGCGCTAGCAGTAGCTCAGACTAGCATTAGCATTGAGTCAGGCTGGTGCTAGCATTAGCATTGAGTCCGGCTGGCACTAGCAGTAGCTCAGGGTAGTATTTATATATGTTGCAGAAACAGAAGTGGGTTGGGACATCCAGGTATAAGGGGGTGTGTCTACACCTCTGACACATTGATGCAGCTTTTCTTAGAAGGACTCGTTCTGTCGGTGTCGTTACAACATCACTACTTTACATAGGGAAGCAGGTCAGGAACTGCACACACGATTAGGTACATTTAACACCCTAAGCTGTGTTTATTCAACAACAAGATAAATGTGGTTCTGAATTTTGGGACCTTTTCAGGAAAACCATGTCTCAAACTAGCATGTGGCTAACAGCTAAATTAGGTTGACAGAATCTGATCCAAGGGTTAGGGTTTGCTTTGGTGCAACATTAACAAAAAGACACATCTGACTGATGAAGTGTCCCATTTCATATTCCAGCCACCACCTCTAGTAGAGTTTGTTAAAACTTAGAGGAAGTGGGAATGTGACTTTGATTGGCTCTTTTTGTCTTCCAGAGGTGGCTGGTCCTGGGAACAAACCCAGTCCTGCTCAGCTGGAGCTGAGAATGGTCCAGAGCAAAGCTGATATCGAGAATCCTGCGATCATAATAGAAGCAACGGTTTTACAAACATCCTCGGACCAAAAGCAGTAGACTTTCTGTGAGCGTTCACATGTCGTAACAAATCCGCATGGTCATTCCGGACCCTTTTAGGATTCTCACACAAGACAGTCTCGTGTCTCTGCCTTAAAAAAAACTCCAAGAGAGAAAACCACATCACCAGGATGGGCTGTATGTAGTTTCTCCTCACAAACACACTGGTACCACTGCCGTTTGTGTCTCTATGACATCATCTGCCCCTCAACAAAAACAAAACAACTGCATTTAGGTTTCAGAAGGAGTAACGTGTGTTGGAATAGATTTTATTAAAGTGAAAAGTAAGTCCTTTTTATGATACGACTCATTCCAGATTTCCAGAAGAATGTTGATTTGTGCATGACCATGTGACCAGTAGATAAGGACTGCTCACACGGCATTGTAAGCACGCGTGTGGTTAGATCAGAACATACTCAACAGACGTAACACAGATGAAAATGTACTTCTACAAAAGCATGCCGTGTGCTTAAGATGCTCCTGTTTGTTTTAAAGCCTCAGTAAATAATCATAGATATGTATTCTTATGCAGAAGTGTCCTAGTTTCACTAACCTGGTTCATTTCACTTTTAGAACAGATGTAACTTAAATGATGAAAGTGTCACTAGCTGATGTGAGAAATCTTATTAAATCAACTTATTTTTGAATTGCTGTTTTTAAATTATGCAACGCTCTGTTGAACTAGCAGGTGTGCAACGTGTTAGACCCATGTTCTATCTCAAATTGAGGTATTTGCACAGATAATTCTTAATATATTTGTTAATGATGCAGAATATTTCCGCTTTGGGGTTGTTGTCGTATCTCACTAGAAGAGTCTATGAGACCACGGCGTTGAGCCTTAACAGGGTTAGTGAATGTTTTTGTGCACTAAAAAGCAGATTTCACACATAGTGTTAGTGAGTCAAGTGCCAAACCTTTAACTGTTGCTCTGTTGGAGATAATAAATGACTAATATTTTACTGAAATGTGTGTTTTAATCGTTTTAATGAGGTTTTTCCTAAATAAGATTCAGCCAGAAATAACCGGATTTATTGTAACATAACTGCAATTTCATCCATCCATTTTCTTCCATTTAACCAGGGTCGGGTCGCGGGGGCAGTAGCCTAAGCAGAGAGGCCCAGACTTCCCTTCCCCTCAGCGCTTTGTGATTTATATCTGTGAAAGGTGCTATATAAATAAACTTTTACTTACTTATTTACTTACTTTTACTTACTTGGGCCAGCTCTTCCGAGGGGAATCCTAAGGCGTTCCCTGGCCAGCTGAGAGACGTAGACCCTCCTGGGTCTTCCTTTAGGTCTTCTCCCGGTTGGACTTGTCCAGAAAACCTCACCAGGGAGCATCCTAGCTAGATGCCCCAGCCACCTCAACTGGCTCTTCTCGACGTTGAGGAGCAGCGGATCTACTCCGAGCCCCTCCCGGGTGACCAAGCTTCTCACCCTCACAGAGAGAACTAATTTTGGCCGCTCGTATCACTACACAAATCTCATGACCATAGGTGAGCATTGGAATGTAGATCGACTGGTTTATGTAGAGCTGTGCCTTCTGGCTCAGCTCTTTCTTCACCATGACGGGCCGATACAACGCCCGCATCGCTGCAGACGAAGCACCAATCTGCCCATCGATGTCTCGTTACATCTTTCACTCATGAACAAGAGAAATATTTAAACTCCTTCACTTGGGGCAGGACCTCGCAGTGGCGTGTCCAGATCTTTTAAAATGAGGTGGCCCAGGTGAGGCACAACTTTGTGCAAGGGTGGCACCAATGGTTATGCTTTTGTTGTTTTACCCCCAAGCCTTTTGTGGACAATGAAAAGCCTATTTAAAGGTAAATTAGTGTGGTGGCCAATTAGATTCCAAGTGTAGCGTAGTAATTATTGTATGTATTTGGGTGCTTTTAAAGCTTTTTATACTACCCTACACTGACCAGTGTGATGTGAATTTCCATATAAATATGGGAATCCCGTCTGATTGGTCTTTGAATGTTTTAACCAGAAGATTTACAATTCTTTGTTTATTCAGGGATTGTAGGACACTTCGTATTGATTCAAGAAGAGAGTTTTAAGTTTTTAAGAAGTAAGAATTTATTTTCCAAACAATTAAAAACATAACAAGTTAACTGAGACTACTGTGGTGAATGGGTCCAGGTGGATGGGATGTGATGTATGGTGACTGTGTGTGAATGTGAGGTTACCAGAACCTTCGTATCTAGAAGAACTGAGTTCTGGGTGTTAAACAAAAAAAGAATTTGGTTTGCATTAACTAGGAAGTTGATTCTTATCAAAACCACATGAGACGTGATTCTTGCTGTGTCTACCTCGCCCTTTTGGAAGACCCTCTTCGCAGATCCAGAGGTCAGGAAGGTTGGATGACCTCTGGGCACCGAGGTTCAGTAGATTAACCACAGCACCGACTCTCCAGTCCAGAGATGTTTCCCGAGTCCCAACAGATAGATGGAGTCGTTTGCGTCTAGAAGGACTCTTGGGGAGTCGGAACTGTATCAGCTTTGTTCTGCAGGAACCGTTTGCTGTGTCAGCTTCAGCGTGTAGCAGGGTTTTTTGACAGCTTGTTAAAAAACGCTCTGGGTTAAAGAGGTTTCGTTCTGGACGGCCGTTCCGTAGCTTTCTCTAGAACTGACTCACGGTGAAGTGAGCTCTGTTTTATATTCTCAGGTTATGGTTTACTTTCTCCCTCTCCTGATAATAACTTTTTGATTCCTTGACGTTGGATGTGCTACTGCTAGTTTACCCGTTTAACAATAGATTCACTAGGATAAATACAATAAAGTTTATCTCTCGCCAAATAGAATATTTACTAAGACATCACGGTGTAACCATGGACACATTGCTCGGTGTGTGTGTTTGTGTTTGTGTGTGTGTTTGTGCGTGTGCGTGTGTGTGTGTGTGTGTGTATGTGTCTTCTCGATCCCCAGTGAGTCGTGGAGGATGGCTACTTATACTGAGCCAGGATCCTCCGGAGGTTTCTTCCTGTTAAAAGGGAGTTTTTCTCTCCACTGTCGCGTTATGCTTGCTTAGTATGAGGATTGCTGTATATTCATTGACACTAGTCAGTGACTTGATGCAATTTGCTGGGTTCCTATATAGAAAACCTTTTTTTCTGATTGGCTTAATGAACTGACCTGAATTAGAATGTTTATTATGTGAAGTGCCTTGAGACGACTCTTGTCGTGATTTGGCGCTTTATAAATAAATTGAACTGAATTGAATACTTGTTCAATCGGAAGGTGCCATGTTAAGGGGTGTTAACAAGCAAACCTCAGAACATCACGGCTTCTTTCAGATACAGGATGCTCTGATTTGTGGGTAAGAAAATATCTATGTGTCATGATGTCTAACTTTAACTAGATAAGCAGACAGGCTCGGCACTGAAGGACCTTGAGAAGGGAACATGATGTTGACAATCTGAGTGTAAACACGCAGTGTCGAATCTTTTCTTGCAACTTGGAAGATTAAGAGACGCACAGAGGCAGATTCATGTCTGTAGATGACCGATGGCATGTAGGTCAATACGTAGGTGAAAACTGACCATTGCTGGATGTTACACAAGGGTGGCATGTGCTACCCCAGGCCACTGCCTGGACACGCCCCTGGAGAAGGGATTCTACCTATTTACGACTCAAGACCATGACATTTTACCAACTTATTAAAAACATTATAGAATATAAAGGGGAGAAAGTCTTTGTTAACGTGCCAGATGTTCGATTGCGGCCACACTGCTCTGTTTCACCAGCACTAATCCACAACAAGAATAGCCAGCATTAGCCCAGATAACCAGGCGGGTTATTATTTGTGTCCAACTTAGCCTCTATGTGTGTCAAGCTCAGTTTGGAGACACAATGGAGATCTCACAGGGAATCGAGTTCACAGCTATGTAGAATAGGATCTATAAAAGAGACAATTCCCATCTTAATAAATTAAGACTTGCAAATTAATTCAACAGAACTGTTTAAGATGGTGTGAGGAAACCCCAACAAGTGCAGTAAATACATTCAAACTGCAAAGAGTGGAGCCTCAGCAAACTTCCTTAAGGCGGACCCAATCTTCTGGTTTAGATGCATTTATACACACAGCACTAGGGGGCGGTAGGCTCATCACTCTGACTCAATAATCAAATATCTACAGCTGTCTACAAGAATTCATGTCTTTTCTATATCAAAAAGGAGAATCGGCGCAACAGGCCTGTAAAGATTGATCATTCTTTAGTTCTAAATATCAAGCAATAACTAAAATAAATAGCTTTTTTTGTGACAAAATGGTATTTTAGTATGTTATGTAATCTTTGGCATATGTTCCTAGCCTGTACTCTTGGGTGGCAAGTGGATTGGGTCATAGTTTGCCCACTTATGAACGTGACATTTAAATCACTGTTTTTAAACGAGGGAGGGTGGTGAATGCCTGAGGTAATTATTACATTAACATGATGGGAGCTATTGCCCGAGTGTGAAGCAGCTGGGATGAGAATCAGCTCCTCTAAATCTGAGATCATGGTCTTGAGTCAGAAAAGGGTAGAATATCTTCTCCAGATCAGGGATGAGGTTCTGCCTCAAGTTTCTCAGGGTCTTGTTCACAAGTGAGGGAAAGATGGAGCGATAGATCGATAGATGGATTGGTGCTGCATCTGTAGCGATGCAGGCGTTGTACCAGTGTGTCGTGGGGAACATTCACCGGTTGATCTACGTTCTTTTCCTCACTTATGGTCACAAGCTTTGGGTAGTGGCAAGAAGAACAACTCGACTTGACTCAAACTTTATTTATATAGCACTTTATAGACTAAAACATGCTGCTGTGGGGGACCACAAAGAGGCCACACTCACACCCAGGTTCTTTTGACTGTTTGCATGTAAATGTTGACGCCTTGCTACTGCACAAAGCAGCCAGCTCCGAGCAGGGAGCTTACTGTTGGTTTGTAAATGAGTTGGCACTTTGGAACTGCTTTTAGCAGCCAACCCTGAGCAGAGAGCTCAGAGTTGGTGACTAAAGATGTGAATGAAACCTACCTTTGTGTCATCCTTGACTCCGGGATGCTGAGAGGTTATAATTAGAAGTGGCCAGTGGCAGTTTTACCATTAAGCCGGGCGTACACTGTGCGACTTTTTCACTCGTAGCACTCAGCTTCAGCTCAAACTGTACGACTTCCTCGCAGGGCAGATCTCACGAGTCCTGCGCTCACACTGTACGACCCAGTTCTCGCATGCGACCTGACTGCTCACATTGTACGTCTGGTAGCAACACGTCGGCCCTAAAAATATGCTAAAAATAGCTGTTTTTACTCAACACGTCAGACTTTTTGGTCTTGCCTGTTGTCCTTCGGGAGTGCTGCAGGAGGACACACAGGGATTTATGGGGGTTGGATGAGGAAAACGAAATAAAGAAAGTAAATCTGTGTTTAGTGATCAGTTTAATTTGACATGAACACGACAAACACGCTTTCTTGACAATCTTTGTGAGTAAAAAAACGTGTAGAAACAAAAACGAACAACGTGTGTTATTAGGGAAATAGCGGGGGAGCGGCATTGATGCAGGATTGCGCATGCGCCGTGAGCGGTTCTGATACTTTTTGGGTCGCAGCTGCTCGCAGCGCCGCTTCAACAGTGCGATACCCTCACGAGGGACGAGCAAAATATTAAACACGCCAGAAGTCCGTGCGACCTCACGATTGTCGATCAGTAGATGGTCACGTGGTGTTAATCGCCTCTCGTAACCCCCTGTACACTACACGACGCTCGGCGCAAAACTCGCCCCGATCTCGTGGATTCTCGCACGAGTGAAAAATCTGCTCAAAAAAGTTAAAAAGTTGCACAGTGTACGCCCGGCTTTAGGAATAGGTCGGTGGCCGCCTGGGGCCCCCTTATGTTGGGGCCCCCCTAGCCCTGACCGCTGGCACCCCTCTGTTAATGGCACAGTGGACTATTCCTTTAAGACACCGATGCACAAACAGGAAGTGATTG